GAAAGAAGAATATACACCGTGACCACGCAGGATTATTCCAGGGATGCAAGCTTGGTTCAACATCCAAAAATCAATGCAAATAATATACTGCACCAACAGGAAAAAAGGTCAAAAAGCATACAGCATCTCAATGGACAGAGAAATAAGCGTTTGACAGTATTTAACATCTCCTTATTATAAAGCACACTCAATAAAATAAGAATGGGGTGGGGGGGCTTCCTCAACCTGATAAAAGATATCTGAAAAAACCACAGCTGACATGACACTTAATGGTGATAGACTGAAAGCTCTCTTAAGATCAGGAAAAAGACAAAGATGTTTCTCTTGCCACTTCGATTCCACATTATACAGGAAGATCTTGCCAGGGTAGCCAGACAAGAAAGTTAAGTAAAAGGCATCCAGAGTGGAAAGAAAAAAATACAACATCTCTATCTGCAAATGACATGATCCTATATATAGAAAATTCTAAGGAATTCACTAAAAAAAAATAAAAGTATTAGAATAAATGAATCCTGCAAGGTTGTAAGATGGAAAATCAATATACAAGTATCAGTTGTATTTCTACACAACAAACAAACTAAAAAATGAAATTAAGAAATCAATTCCATTCGTAGTAGCATAAAAATAATAAAACACTTGAAAATAAATTTAACAAAAGAAGTACAATACTTACACTCCAGAAACTATAAAACATCGTTTGAGAAATTAAAGACCTCAATAAATGGCAAGGTATCTCATTTTCATGGATCAGAAGAGTGACTATTGTTAAGACAGCAATACTCCCCAAACTGATTCAACACAATCCCTATAAAAATCTCAGCTGGCTTCTTTGCAGAAACTGACAAGCTGATCCTAAAATTCATATGAAAATGCAAGGGACCCAGAATAACCAAAAAAAAAAATTCTTAATATTGGATTGTTTTTTGAGTTGAGGAGGGAGATAATTAAATTTGCTCATATATTTACTTTTTTTTTTTTTTTTAGAGGAGGTACTGGGGATTGAATCCAGGAGCTCATGCATGCTAAGCATGCACTCTACCACTTTGAGCTATACCCTCTCCCCACAAAAAAAAAATTCTGAAAAAGAAAATCATAGTTAGCAAACTCACATTTCCTAATCTCAAAACTTACCACAAAGCTACAGTAATTAAAACAGTATAAACTGTCATAGAACAGACAAATAGATCAGTGGAATAGAATTGAGAGTCTAGAAATAAACCTTCACATTTATAGTCAATTGATCTTTTTCAAGGGTGTCAAGATAATTCAAGGAGGAAAGAATCATCTTTTCAACAAATGGTGCTAGGACAACTGGATATCTACATGCAAGAGAATGAAATTAAACCTCTATCTTACACCATATGTAAAAATTAAGTCAAAATGGATCAAAGACTAAATGTAAGAGTTGTAGCTATAAAACTCCTAGAAGAAAACAGGGGTAAATGCTTAAGATTAAGCACAACACTGCAAGCACCAGCAACAAAAGAAAAAACTGATCAATTGGACATGGTCAAAATTTAAAACTTGCATGCTTCAAAGGACATCATCAAGAAAGTGAAGACAATCCAAAGAATACAAGAAAAGTTCTGCAAAGCGTATATCTGATATGTATTTAGAGTATGTAATATTTAGAACACAAAAAGAACTATATATAGCTCAATTAAAAAAAGATAGAAAACCAAGTGAAAAATGGGCAATGGATCTGAAAAAACAAATCTCCAAGAAAGATACACAAACAGCCAAAAAGCTCATGAAAAAATGCTCAACATCACTAGTCATAAGGGAAATGCAAATCAAAACCATCATGAAATATCACTTCACACCCAGTAGGCTGGCTACAATCAAAAAGGACAATCACCAGTGCTGGTAAGGATGTGGAGAAACTGAAACCTTCACACACTGCTGATGGGAATGTAGAATGGTGTAGTCTGGCAGTTCCCCAAAAGATTATGTGACCCAGCAATTCCACTCCTATGTATATAATGTCCACATAAAAACATGTACACGCATGCTCATAAGATTATATTCATAATAGCCAAAAAGTGGAAACAATTCAATGTCCATCAACTGATGATTAGATAAACAAAATGTGAAATACAGTAAAAATAGTATTCAGTCATAAAAAGGAATGAAATATTAATACATGCTACACTGTGGATAAACCTCAAAAATACTACGCTAAGTGAAAGAAGCCAGTCACAAAGGACCAAATATTGTATAATTCCATTTATATGAAATGCCCAAAATAGGCAGGTCCCCAGAGACAGAAAGTAGACTGGTGGGTGCCTGGGGCTGGGGGAAGGGGGAAATGGGGAATGACCACTAATGGGCAGGAGGTTTCTTTCTGGGGTGATGAAAATGTTCTAAACTTGATTGTGGTGATGATGATTTACACAACTCTGTGAATGTACTAAAAACCATTGACTTGCACACTTTAAATACGCGAATTGTGTGGTGTGTGAGTTCTGTCTCTGTAAAGCTGTTATACCAAGGGAGAGCAAGAAGGCAAGATACTACAGCGGGAGATCCCTGATGTGGTCCTTGCCCTGCATCAGCATTATCTAGGAGCTTGCTAGACACTCAGACCTTCAGAATCAAAAGCTCAGCAGTGGGCCCAGCAATATGCATTTTAACAAGTCCTTCAGGTGACCCTAACCTCACTAAACTTGGGGACCCCTGCTTAGAGTATGTGGTTCTCAACCTTGACTACACTTTGGAATCACTTAGGGAACTTTAAAAGACCCATGCCCTGGCTCCCCGGCAGGCCAACTAAATCAGAATCTCTGGGGGTGGAGCTCAGGCACTGGTCTGATTTAAAGCTCCCAGGTGAATCTCTTGTGCAGCAAGGGTGAGAAGAACTGGATTAGAGGGTGTCTCAGGCCCCTCTGCTCTTCAGCTCTTCTGCGAGTTTGGCCCAAGCTCAGCTCACTGGGGCCACCTGGTGGTCACATTGGGGAATGACTCTACATCTTGCTTCTGCGGGGACCCTCACCCCAACTCCCCCCATCACCAACAACAGGAAGGCCAGGGATAGGGCTCAGGGATTCCCATCCTCTCACTGCAGAAGTCAGCACCATCCTGGCCTTTGGAATGGAAGGGAAGTCCTGGTGGGCAGGGGGTGGGAATCCTCTGCTGGCTCTGCTTCCTCCTTCCTCATTAAAACACCCCACAACCCCAAAGGCAGCCAGAGCATCTACCACTAGACACAGCCCCAACCATACCACCCTTCCCTCCCACTGCCAGCAGGAAAAGCCAACTCACCCATCCAGCCTCAGCTCTGACAGCTTCCAACACAACTGTTTGTGGGCACCAAAGCACCTTGACTGCCTCTGAACTCACTTCACTTTTTGGCCTCCCAGCCTCTGCCCATGTAGCCCCTCCTGCCTGAAGTGCCTTCCCCGGCTTTCATTACACTGGGATTGTTCAGGGCCAGTTCTGTTGGACTCTCCTCTCTCCCCATGGCTCACGTCCTCCTGATGCTCCCTGCTGCACCCTCTGTGCCCCACAATGAACGTCCACGGCTGCAGAGCTGAGGAGGGGAGGGCCTATCCGCTGGTGGGGAGGGGGATACCTGGTTGGCTGAAGGCAATGGAGAGCCAGCAAGGCTGAAGGGAGGGGATGTGGAGAGGGGGACGCTGACAGGGGGCCCTGTGGTGCTCTGAAGCAGGGCTAGACATCCCTTTTCAACCACTTGGGCCTCCTGCTACAGAGAGAACTGGAAGCCTCAGTTCTCTGCCCTTTCTGTGTCCTTTGAAAGCAGGAGGAGCTCAGGCTCTCAGTTCACTGCTGCCACCTGGTGGCAGCATACGAGACCACCAAGAACGAGACGCAAAGGCAGCTCCAAAGGGATACAATGGAGCTGCTGGCCCTGGGGAAAACTAGTCTATCTTATGCAGCTCAGCAAAGTCCACTTTCTGGAACCTTAACCACTTTCCCCACCCCAAATTCAGCAGCCCTTCCAACTGATCTCTGGCCTTGAGCATAGCCTGACCCCAAGTGGCCCACCTCCAGGGAAACTCTTTTTCCCAATCATGGTCTGATCCGTGGCCCTGAGCAAAGGTTGGCGTGGATCGGCCATCACAGTGTGCGCCCGGTGCAGGCGGACCATGGGGCTGGCTTGCAGGGGCCACAGGCAGAAGCTGACCTCGGCGACTGCTGACTAGAAGCAGTGAGCACAAGGTCGGCACCCACAGTGGGGCTCACTCACTACAGGCACAGCCTTCCTGAAGCCCCTCACTCCCCCCACAGCTGCCCACTCCTGCTCCAGCTCCCTCCTGTGCCCCAGCAGCCAATCAGATTTCCCTGGGTCAGAGAAGAACAGAATTAGGCAGGTCAGTGTGTCTCACACAGAGATCGGAGGCCAACACGTCCCATGCTCCGAGCAGCCCAGCGGGTTACAGCACTGGGCCAGCCATGTGTGACAGAGTGCTGGGGACCACGGCCAACTGGAGGACATGTTTTTTACAGATAGGCTAAAACTCTGAATTTTTATATGAAATCTAGACTTTTATAGAAAACTTCTGATTTTTATAATTAAATGCCCAGTCCCTCAGGCAGCATCACCTGTTAAAGCACTGAACTGCTTCCCTGCCGGGTATTACACAGCCACTCTCCAGGGCCACAGAGTGGTCCCATCTACCAACCTGACCCCAGCCCAGGGCCTCCAGGGCCCTCCATGGCCCAGACACTGGAGGGTTAATGACTGGCACCACAGGACCTAGGACAGGGTGCCCTTCTGACTGGACACACCCTTGACAGGCCCCAGAGTCGCAGCAGCTGTTAAACACTCCCAACATCACGGCTGCACACGCCCCGCCCAGCACCCCAGAATCTCACCTGGGCAAGTTGCAGTTGGGTATGTTTCCATTTCAAGGATCACCTCCACTCCCAGAAGGTGGAGAAGTGACTGAGAGCCCCTGCGGGTCCCCTGGGACCCCTAGTCCCTCACACCCCGTCGGCCCCCACCTGGGCCGCGCACCCGGGCCGGGGCTGGGGCTCACCTGGCGGTAGGTGCAGATGATGATCTCCCGCAGGTGGTAGTGCATGGGCGTCATGGTCTCACTGACCGTGTCCAGCGCCGCGTCCACCTCCTTCTTCACACTGTGCCCATCAGGCAGCAGCTGCACCACCTTCATCACCACCTGGGGCCAGAGGAGGGGGGATAAGCAGAGCCCCAGGGTGGGCAGGGGGGCCTCCAGCCCCAGCAACCGGCTCACCGGCACCAAGGGCACACCAGCCTCAGGGCCCAGGCCCTGACCGCCCCTTGGTTCTCAGAGGGGTGCTCCTGGGTATCTCTGAGGCCAGGGCTCCCAAGGTGCTTATTTGTTTAAGCAGTATGAACCTTGCTCCAAACAAAACCTTACCCAGGAATCTAATCTATAAAATAGAGAGTTGTCATGTCACTGGGGCTGGTGGGGTGAGGAGAGGGTGTATGATAAGCCTATATGGGGGTCCTGCTGGCTCTCCCTCTGCTTGCAGCAGCCCCCAGGCCCTTCACAGACTCCTGGCTATGAGGAACCCAGTGAGGACACCACACCACTCCGACTCTGTCTACCCTGCCCGCCACAGCCAGCACAATCCAGGCCTCCATCACTTGCAGCAGCCCTGCCTCCTCCCCTCCCTGGTAGCCAGAGAGGTTTTACTGAAGTATAAATGTGAGCATGTCCCACTTGTATAATTCCCGGGCTTCAATCTCCTTCTGGTTCCCCTGCACTCAACACAGAAACCGAAACGTCGGGATTGGGAGGGTATAGCTCAGTGATAGAGTGCATGCCTAGCATGCATGGGGTTCAATCCCCAGTAACCCCATTTAAAATAAATAAATCAACAAACAAACCTAATTAACCCCCATAAAACAAACAAAACCCCGAATAGTCTATAAGGTCCAGCACCACCTGACCCCACTGGCCTCCCAGCCTCACTCATAACTCCTCCCAAGGCTTCAGTGCCTCCCTAAAATCCCTCGATTACCCGCCAACAGCCCACACAGTCGGTCAGTGGATGAGAAGCTCCCGGATCCCTGAGCACAAGGGCTTTCCACCCAGGAAGCACCCAGCCGCCGCCAATGCTGAATGAAAGACAAAACCCAGCCTAACTCAGCTCTTCTCACAATCTGGCTGCCACGTGCGCACACGGCCATCATCCCCTCCCCAAGACTGGGTCCTGGTGGGAGGGTGGCTGGGAGGGCTCTCCTTCACCCCTGCGTTTCTCAGAAGGAACTGGCCCAGAGCAAGCACACTGGCAGGGGCGGACCTACAGCCCAGCGGAAGAAGAGGACCCATCGCCTGGGAGGACCCTTGGTTAATATGGCTCAGGCCACACTCTGGTCCTGAGTTCTGCAATGGGCATCTCTCTGGAGAGGAGTACGGCCCACAGGCAGGTCCCCAGGCACAGGGCTGCAGCTTCTTCAAATGCAATAAACTGAACTCCTAGCCTCTGCCCCTAAATTGCTCCTCCCCTTGAACTCTTCATCTCCTTGGCTGTCACTAGCACAGGCCAGAAACCCGAGGTCTTCCTGGGTGTCTTCCCTCTTTGCCCTACAACCAATGGTCCCCAAGACCAACCAGTGGGGACTGGGCTTCTCCTGTTCACCAGGCAGCCCCCTCCTCACTCAGGACCCAGGCTCTCCTCTCCACTCCACCATCCACACACTGGCCATCCAGAATTAGAGTCTGATCATGATCTCCCTTATTTCCATGCTGGCCGCAAGCTTCAGGTCAAACATAGTGTGGCCCCCACCAGGGTCCTTACAATCAGGGACCCCCACCTCAGCCCTGCTTCCTTTCATTCTGGCCAACCACAGCCTTCTACAGCTCCTGCCCTTTCCAGACTCCCTCCTTTGCACACTTGATCCCCTCTGCACAGTACCCCTCCTCCCTCGGCAGACTCATTCATCTTTCTAAAATGCACTCAAATGTTACCTCCTCCACGAAGCCCTCTTGGGCTCCCTCAGTTGCACTTTCAGCCCTCAGAACCAGTGTCTATTTCAGCCCTCTTCACACTCTACTGAA